GCCTCACTCCTTCCAAGCAAAGCCCAAACTCCCTAGGTCAGCCAACAAGGTCCCCCTCAGAACTTTCTGAGCCCTGGCACCCACTTTCTCACTGCTGGAAGCTGACAGTGCCCCTGCCTCCCATCTCCCCTCACTCACCTCCATGAACCCCATCATAATCCAATTTTCTCCCCTTGTGGCCACAAGAAAGCATCACCTCCTCCACAAAACACTCTGGAAGTACCACCTTCTTCTTTATACTCCAGTAACTTTTGTTCCACAATATTCACAAAGTTCTGCCTTGTAGAAAGCTCTTTGCACGCCTTTCTATTATTATTGTTTATATCTTCTGCTAGGTTGCAAGTTTTCAGAGATCAGAAGAAATGTCTTAAATGTTAGTGTTCCCATTCCAGGCCTAGCAGATTGAGTATCAATCCTGCTTTCCCTCTTAACCACGGATTTCATGTGCTCCCCACCCACACACTCAATTCCAATCCCAGTTGATTCTGACTCAGTAAACATGAGGCAATTCTTCTTTTGGCCAGAGCTGAGAATTGCTGGCCTGCTGCATAAAGACACTCAGGAAAGGCTGGCTGAATGAATGCATAAACCATCTAATAATATGTATTTAAAGAGAAAAGAGTCCTTCTCAGATCTCTCTCCTGATGGAATTAATTTCCTCCCACTCTCTTTCCCCTGCATTTGGACTGTACTTCTGTTAAGTACCTACCACAATCTATCTCATATTCAGTGACATGGCAGTATGCCTGCCTTCCTGTCTAGTGTGTGGACCAGTGGAAAGCACAGATGTGTTGTGATGGTGTCTACTGCCCATAACAGTGGACCAGTAACTGTGTGCTCAATACAGTCTCTCAGAAAAGCTTGCTGTACCGACTTTAAGGAGTTTGGGGGGTGTTATATATACAAAGCAGAGGGACAGAAACCATGGCTATCCCCAGTTCTGGCATCTGAGAAGCATTTTATGTCTGTAAGATGGATCTTTGATCATCACGCCCATTTTATTTTATTTTAAGACAGCCTCGTTGCCCAGGCTGGAGTGCAAAGGTACGATCTCAGCTCACTGCAACCTCTGCCTCCCAGGCTCAAACAATTCTCTTACCTCAGTCTCCCAAGTAGCTGGGATTACAGGCATACACCATCATGTCTGGCTAATTCTGTATTTTTAGTAGAGATGGGGTTTCTCCATTTTGGTCAGGCCGGTCTTGAGCTCCTGATTTCAGGTGATCCACCCACCTCGGCCTCCCAAAGTACTGGGATTATAGGCGTGAACCACTGCACCCAGCCCATCACAGCCATTTTAAAGATGAGGAAACTGAGGTCTAAAAGGTTGAAGCCAGGCACAGTGACTCATGCCTGTACCCAGCACTTTGGGAAGCCAAGACAACTGCTTGAGTCCAGGAGTTTGAGAAGACCCTGAGCAATACAGTAAGACTCCATCTCTAAAAAAATTAGCTAGGCATGGTGATGTGTACCTGTAGTCCCAGATACTCAGAAGGCTGAGGCAGGAGGATTGCTTGAGCTGGGGAGGTCAAGGTTACAGTGAGCTGTGATTGTGCCACTGCATTCCAGCCTGGGTGACAAAGCAAGATCCCACCTCAAAAATAAAAATTAATTTAAATAATAGATTGAGTAGCTGTGTGAAATCACCCAGCACTTAAAGACACTTGAGCACTAGGGCCCATGTCTACTGACCACTGCCAATTGAAAGTTCTTTCCATTCTTCGTTTAAAACCAATCCTCTACAAGTCTTTAAATCGAGGATAATCTCCTGTGCTTTGACAATGTGCTGAATTCCAGGCTGGTGGCAAAAGCATAAGACAGGAGGGGGCCGGGCACGGTGGCTCACGCCTGTAATCCCAGCACTTTGGGAGGCCGAGGCGGGTGGATCACGAGGTCAAGAGCTCGAGACCATCCTGGTCAACATGGTGAAACCCCGTCTCTACTAAAAATACAAAAATTAGCTGGGCATGGTGGCGCGTGCCTGTAATCCCAGCTAGTCAGGA